AGTACTGGTACAGTTGTGGTACAGTACTGGTACAGTACTGGTACAGTACTGGTACAGTACTGGTACAGTACTGGTACAGTACTGGTACAGTACTGGTACAGTACTGGTACAGTACTGGTACAGTACTGGTACAGTACTGGTACAGTACTGGTACAGTACTGGTACAGTACTGGTACAGTACTGGTACAGTACTGGTACAGTACTGGTACAGTACTGGTACAACAGTGGTACAGTACTGGTACAGCAGTGGTACAGTACTGGTACAGCAGTGGTACAGCAGTGGTACAGTACTGGTACAGTACTGGTACAGTACTGGTACAGTAGTGGTACAGTTGTGGTACAGCAGTGGTACAGTACTGGTACAGTAGTGGTACAGTAGTGGTACAGTATTAGTACAGTATTAGTACAACAGTGGTACAGTTGTGGTACAGTACTGGTACAGTACTGGTACAGTACTGGTACAGTACTGGTACAGTACTGGTACAGTAGTGGTATAGTAGTGGTACAGTATTAGTACAGTATTAGTACAACAGTGGTACAGTTGTGGTACAGTACTGGTACAGTACTGGTACAGTACTGGTACAGTACTGGTACAGTACTGGTACAGTATTGGTACAGCAGTGGTACAGCAGTGAAAATTATTAGGAAAAAATGAAAAAAAAATGTTAAAAAATGTGGAAAAACATATTTCTGACTACCATTTTTTTTCGATTTTATTACCGAAACTATACTTTTTAAAATAGAGCTCGCTCGGTTATACGAGCTTCTTACAATGATTTGTGTAACAAATATCCAAAAAAAATGTGAATTGAAATTTAAAAAAATGAGTAAAAATTAAGAAAAACGTAAAAGTAGATAATTCTGACCGCGTATTTATTCTTAATTGTTTTAACCTAAACTACTGTTTTTACTTATAGGTGAATCTCTTGTATAAGTTATATATATATATATATATATATATATATATATATATATATAGTTTTAATTGTACTCAAGTACAGAACACGTGAAAAAATTTAGGAAAATTTGTAAAAACGTATTTCCGACCTCGTTTTTTTGTAATTTTTTGACCTAAAATACTTTTTAATTTTGACTATACTTATTCTTATACGCTACTTTCAACTATTTCTATATGTCTGAAATAAGGGTAAAATGTAGAAATTTTTTTTAGAAAAATGAAAGAAAATGTAAAAAAGTATAGAAAAACCAGTTTCCGACCGCATTTTTCCGTAGTATTTTGACCTAAACTACTTTCTGACTACGGCGACTTACTCATATAAGCTAATTCCGACTATTCCTATGTATATCTTAAATAGTGGTATAATATAGAAAAGTGTATAAAAAAATGTAAATGAATATAGAAAAACCAGTTTCCGACTGTGTTTTTCCGACCTGTTTTGATTTAAAATACTTTTTAACCCCATAGCAATTGAATCTGAAATAGTAGTAAAATATAAAAAAATGAGAAAAAATTTAAATAAATTTAGAAAGACCAGTTTCCGACTACGTTTTTCCGACCTGTTTTGATCTAAAATTCATTTTAACCCCCAAACTGAAATAGTGGCAAAATAAGAATAATGAAAAAAATGTAAATAAATTTAGAAAAACCAGTTTCCGACCTCGTTTTTCCGTATAGTAATTTAACCAAAAAACTATTTTTTCAACCTAGGCTAGTATAGAAAAACGAGTTTCCGACCGCATAGTTTTTTCTTTTTGTTTTCCAACTCAAACTATTGCCAAATTCTTATATAGCGTAGGAAAAAAGTCATAAAAAATTTTTTAAAATTCAAAAATACCCAATTCTAACTTTTTCTTTCGCGTTTCCCAAAAATTACCTCATTATTATTTTCCGACCCTTCTTACACTCTACTATTATTTAATCATCCACATTATCTTGAAACACTTTTTTTTTTAAGCTTAAAAACAATTTTAAAAAATTTCTTTAGAATTTTATCATTTGTTATCATATTTTTTTTCTGTTTTTTTTTTTTTAATTTAAAAAAAAAATCACGTCATTTTAATAAAAAAAAAAAAAAAAAAAAAAAAAAAACAAAATTCAACATGCAAACATTTCTCATAGAAAAATTTGGCTTCTCACGCGAACAGAAAAGATGCGCATATGCATTTCGACGTCTTTTGTGGCTCCTGGGAGTATATAATATAATATATACACACATATATATATAGTGTACCCAGGTTGATATCAATAGAGGGAGGAGAGATGGTTGCGGAAGAGAAGATGAGAAAAAAAAATACCGAGAGGACCCTTGAGTTCTCAAAATACGGGCAATTGTAAAAAAAAAAAAAAAAAAAAAAAAAAAAAAAAACCTTCTGAAGAAGTTTGGTTCCTCTCTCTCTTTCTCTCTAGTTTCTCTTCCGGGTGCCGCCCCAAAAAACCAAAACACAAATAATATTGTACTCATTTACCGCAATAGAAAAACGGTATCGCGTGGAGACGAAAGAGAGAGAGAGAGAGAGAGAGACCAGGGAGAGAAAAAAGGGGGCTTGTTTCATAAGGCTATTTAGGATCAGAAAAAAAAAGGATCCCGAGTGTGAAACGATCTGCATCTCAATAGTTATAATGGTAATTGGGGGATGCACCGTTATGTATATATATAAGAAGAAAAAAAATAGTAGAGTACCTTTCGTCTCTGAATGAGAATCTTCAAAACTGGGTGAGAGTCACGTTCTTCGTGTGTATATATGGTATATGTTTGTGTTTGTAATACTCTGTCAATGACCTAACCTTCAAAGTCTCGGATCCTACCTGCCTCACTATCCGGTTCCGGGTCAAGATTCCCCCCCCCCCTTCCTCCCCCTTTGAATCGAATTTTCGATAAAAAAAAGAAAATTTTTTTGCTTTTCTTACTTTATTTACGAGAATTTTTTTTTTTTTAATTTGCTTCTCTTACTTTATTTACGAGAATTTATTTTTTAATTTGCTTTTCTTGTTTTATTTATGAGAATTTTTTTAAAACCTTTTTTTCTGTAAATAGAGGTCCGAAAAGTCAGAAATAGAATAATAAAATTTCGGGGATTAACGGAAAAAAAAAATCTTTATTTGAAACAGCGAAAGTTTTCGCTATTCTAGAGAAATATAAATATATATATATATATAGCTGTTCCAGAGAAAGTGGAACGTTCAAGACGAAGATTTTTTTGCTTAAATTTAAAAAATAGTATACTAGAAAAAAGTTAATTTAAGAAAAAAAAAATTAAGATGTAATCCCGCCATGTTTATTTTGAATTCGCGTGCCTAACGTCCCTCTCTCTCTCTATATATATATATATATATGTGAAGTTGTGGGAGGTGGTAACCACCCTAACGTTCCGTTTTTTCCTTCTTCTTCTTCTTTTTTTTTCTATTTTATTTTTCATTTCCTTCCTCAATTCTCGCGCGCGCACACTGCACTGCGCAACAAACCCCCTCTCTCCCCCTTTTCACCACCCCTTTTTTCCTTTGGCTGTCGCGGGAACTGCCCTCCACACACATACTTTCCTCCCTCCCCTACTTTTTTCCTATCGTCTTTTTTTTTTTTTTTTTCTTTCTATTCCCTACAATTTTTTTTTTTTCAATTCGTGGTGGTGCGCACGCCTTTTTCTCTCTCTCTCTCTCTCTCATACCCACTGTTGGAAAAATATATATCTATATTTATCTGTTTCTTCGCGGGCTCGACTTTTTTCCCAAAGCCACCCAACCACCCACCTTCTCCTTGGCGGCGGAGAAAAGAAAAAGGAAGTAAAAAGAAACACACACGACAACGTTGCTTGCTAGACGGTGAAGCGTGCGCCGCCTTTTCCTTGGACGAAAAAGAAGAGAGAGAGAGAGAGAGAGAGAGTGAGAGAGAGAAAAAGCAACCCGGCTTCCGCTTCCTTATGCTCCGTCGCGGACTGCATCAACCAGTCGCGCGGTTCTCCTCGATCGTGCACATAAGAAAATAATCTTCGAAGAAAAAGCTGAGAAAATTTTTTCAAAATTTTTTACTAAGAAACATTGGTGGTGGTGGTGGTTTTTTTTTTTTTTTTTTTTTTTAATTGAAAAAAAAGGAGAGAAAGAAAAAAAAAAAAAAGAAAAGTGTTTACTCGACGACAGTCAGCGCGAGACTGACTGATTGAAGCCCCCCCACTATAACGCACGAGAGGCCCGAGCGCCAATAGTGAGACGCCAACGGCTCACGCGTCGAGTACTGTACGCACTGGCCCCGCCTCTATCCCCTCCACTACTTTGAGGCCCCGTTTCTTTTTCTCGGAATTTCTCATTTCTTTTACTATTATTACTGTTATTATTATTATTACTACTACTACTATTATTATTATTACCTACTATTATTATTATTACCTACTATTATTATTATTATCATTACTGTTATTACTATTATTTAGTAATAATTGTCCCGTCAATTTATTTAAATAAGTAAATAAAAAATTACTATTATTATTATTATTATTATTATTATTATTATTATTATTATTACTATTATTATTACTACTATTAGTACTATTATTATTATTTTCATTAGTATTATTTTTATTGTTATTATTATTGCTACTGTTATTATTATTATTCCTCCGTCAAGAAAAATGGAAGAGGAACGTGAACCAGGCGACGAAGAAGAACCACCAGCCATGAGGATTATTAAAAAAAAAATTTGCCCGAACACTACGACTTCCGGATCGAAAGATCGAGCTCAAATTTCTCAATGCCTTTTACGCCACACGGATATAAAAATTTAAAAATAATAATAATAATAATAAAAAAAAAAAAATTATTCCCGAGCGTTTTTTCTTCCGAGGCGCAAATAAACCAAAGTTCCTATTTTTCAACAATAGTAAATAGATTTGGAAATTAGAAAAAAGAAAAGAAAGGAAACAAAAAAAAAGAAAAGGAAAATTTAAAAAAAAAAAAAAAAAAAAAAAAAAAAAAAAAAGAAAAGGAAAATAAAAAAAAAAAGAAAAGGAAAAAAAAAAAAAAGAAAAGGAAAATAAAAAAAAAAGTAAATAAAAATAAAGAAAAGGAAAAAAAAATAAAGAAAAGGAAAATAAAAATAAAGAAAAAGGGAAAAGAACAGAAAAGAGAAAGAAAAGCAAAATAAAAAATAAAAGAAAGAAAAATTGTTTAAAAAAAATTAGTTTAAAAAATTTAAAAAAAAAAAAAACACACATTGATGGAAAAACATGACCACGTGGTTAATTAACGGCCCTGCGTAATGAGATTGCGCGCGCAAAAACAAGTTCCTATTTATATATAAATATATATAATATAATATAAAAAAAAGTATATTAATAAATTATAACAAGTTCCTTTATAAATAATAATATTTAGAGGGAAAAACTAGAAAATAAGCGTCCATAATTTAAATAAAAAAAAAAAAAAAAAAAAAAAAAACAATACTTGAAAGAAAAACGAATAACAACGCACTGTGTCTTACAAAATAAAAAATTGTTTTTTTATTTTTCCCGAAAAAAAAGTGCGAAAGGATCATTTTAGAATTTACAAAGGAAAAAATATATATATATATATATCTATATACACGTCTACAAATTATATTCTATAAAATATTTCGCTAAAGCGGAAAAAAAATTTTAATCTCCAAAAAAAAAAAATTGATTAAAATTTTAGTGATAGAAATAGAAATTAAATAGAAAAATTCAGTTTTTTTAAAAAAAAATAAAAAAAAATTCTTAGAATAATAGAAAAAAAAAATTGTTTTTTTTTTGGGTGAAAATTCATTTTTTTTTTTTTTTTGATTAAAAAATATATAAATAATGTCGACTGTCAGCGTTGTGTCAAATTCATCGGTGGAAATTGAAACTGATTCATCGAATGATGAAATTTTAAATAATAAAAATATGAATGATGATGATGATAATAATTTAATGACGAGAGAGGATAGAAAATTTATTTTGCCAAATGAACTTTATAAAAATTTATTGGCACGCGCTGTATTGGGTAAAACGGTGCTTAATCGAAATCTTCATTTCAAGGACAATCATCATCTTGTTCATTTCAAGGACAATCTCAATGCGCTTGACGCCCTTAAGGAATTGAAGGATATCAAAAATTTAAGTGTTAGCAGCGTACCGGCGTTTCCTCGTAATTTTGCATTACATCGAGATGATCACGATGAGGTTAGAAAATTTTGCATTTTTTCAGGGTAAAATCAATTTTTATTTTTTTTTTGTTTTTTTTTTTGTTAGAAAGTTACAAAAAAAATTTTTTTTTCTTTTAAATTATATTAATTTTTTTGACTTTATAAAAACAAATTGGAAAAGGGGTTTTTGAAATTCGGGCACAAAAAAGAGGGGTTTTTGAAATTGGGGGCAAAGAAAATATTTTAAAGGGGATTTTGGATTTTTTTTTTTTTTTGAATCCGGGCATTTAGTGATTTTTCTCTTTTTCGGGGGACGAATTTTTATTCTATTTTCAAATTCCGGAAATTTTGGGGTTAAATAATTTTTTTAAAAACCTTAAATTATATATTAAAATTTGGATTTTTTTTTTTTTTTTTTTTTTTTTGAAAAAAGTATCAAATTTTTTTTTAAAAATCCGGGCATAAAATAAGTGAAGGTTTTAAAAATTTTTAATTTTTTAATCCGGGCATTTGTGAATTTTTTTTTTTTTTTGGTTCGAAATTTTATTTTAAAATCCGTGAACTAAAGGTTAAATAAAATTAAAAATCGAATTTTTGAAAAGAATTTAAAAATTTTAGAAGCAAAAATTTTGTTTAAATTCGGGCACTTTTTGAACTTTTAAATTTTGTTTTTGAATCTTCGCAAACAAAAAAATTTAATTAAAAAAAAATAGTCCATTATTGTCCGAATTATATAAAAAAAAATTGAAATCAAAACACTTTTCAAATACAAATCACGATGAGGTTAGAAAATTTTTTATTTTTTCAGGGTAATATCAATTTTTTTTTTTTTCAAAATTATATTAATTTTTTTGAAAATAATTTTTTTGACAAATAAAAACAAATTGGAAAAGGGGTTTTTGAAATGCGGGCAAAAAAACTGTTTTGAATTTTGTTTTTTTTTTTAAAAAAAAACAGGGGTTTTTGAAATTGGGGCAAAGAAACTATCTTAAAAGGGAATTTGGATTTTTTTTTTAATCCGGGCATTTAGTGATTTTTCTCTTTTTCGGGGACGAAATTTTATTCTATTTTCAAATTCCGGAAACTTTGGGGTTAAATAATTTTTTTTATAAACTTAAATTATATATTCAAATTTGGTCTTTTTTTTGAAAAAAGTATCAAATTTTTTTTAAAATCCGGGCACAAAAAAAATTTTTTTTTTTTTATTTTTTAATCTGGGCATTAGTGAATTTTTTTTTGGTTCGAAATTTTCTTTTAAAATCCGTGAACTAAAGGTTAAATAAAATTAAAAATTGAATTTTTGAAAAGAATTAAAAAATTTTAGAAGCAAAAATTTTGTTTAAATCCGGGCACTTTTTGAGATTTTGGATTTTTTTTTTTTTTTTTTTTGAATCCGGACAAACAAAACAATTTAATTTTAAAAAAATAGTCCATTATTGCCCGAATTATATAAAAGAAAATTGAAATCAAAACACTTTTCAAATACCGTTATTGCCCGGATTTAAAAAAAAATAATAAATCTGGGCAAAAATGCCTTAAAAATTGTATAGGATCGACAATTTTTCTTCACGTCGAATATATTTTTTTTCTTTTTTATAATCTCTCATTTTTCTTTTATTTTTCAAAATTTTTAATTTTACTCTATTATTTAAGTTTTCTATGTTATTTTATTTTTTTAAATTTAATTTTTAATTATTTTTTTTTCTATCTTTATGTTTATTTATTTCAATTTATCCATTTTTTTATTTTCTTTATTTTTTCCATTTTTATTATTTTCAAAAAAAAAAAAAATGATTTTTTATTTTATTCAATTTATTTATTTATTTTGTTTGTCAAAAAAAAAAAAAAAAAACATAAATCAAGATTTACTATTTTTTTTTTTTTTTTTTTAATGAACACTTAAGAATTTTTTCCTTTTATAAGGTTGGCAGTATTTGTTTTAAAAAAAAAGAATTGAAGAAAAATTAAAAAATAACGAACACACAATTAGTGACGTAATTTTTCACATCTAGAAGTAATAATATTTCGCAGTAATTTCACCCTTATTAAAATGTTAAGTGGAAAAAAAAAATTTTTTCTCGTTAAAAGAAAAACTATTTTACAATTTTTATTTTTTATTTTTCTATTTTTCTATTTTAATAAATCACACATATAATTATTATTATCTCAAACGCAGGAGAATAGAGAAAACGTTATATATATATATATATATATATATTGGAACACTGTGAAAAAATAAATAATATTTTTCCTTTCTCTTTCCGGCTAACTGATAATGCGTATATGAATATACTATGCATATAATGACCCTAAACACAGCTAAATAACAAAAAAAAAAATTTTTTTTTGAGATAAACAGAAAAAAAATTTTGTTTTACTCTATGCGAGAAATTTATTTACCTGAAATAGCGAAAAGTTTCACTGTAACAATAAAGATTTTTCCCATTCTGGAGAAACATATAGATGTTTCAGATATATATATTTTTTCACATTTTTTTTATTTGCAAAAATATCAAAAAAATTTATGAAAAATTATTATGAAATATATTTAAGTAACTACTCTCTCCCCCCCCTCTCTCTCTCTCTCTCTCTACACTTAAATCAAACGACGACATAAAATATTATTAAAACCGCGCACGATATATATACGCAAACGTTCAAGGATAACGTTCGCCATTCAAATATGTATACAATATTTATGCAACAAACAAGAAAGAGAGAGACAAAATCGGCAGCAGTTATGACAACTCTGTAATTACGCTATTTCCAACAAAAAAAAAAAATGGCAAAAAAAAATCATAGCAGATGCAAAACTATATACGTGTAATTTTGTTCTCGACCAGCTTTTGCTATTTTTAGATTTTTTTCTTAAGCTTCAATAATACAATTTTTTTTTATTGATAAACTTTCAGAAGATATTACCATAAAATTGCATCCGCAATTTTGTATTTTGTAAAACTAACATTGAATTCGTAATCAGCAGCCAAAAAAAAAAAAAACCCCAAGTAACGATTTTGAAACGAATTTAAGAAATTTTAAGTTTTTTGTCGACATTTTGAATTTTGTATAAAACTAACATTGGATTCGTAATCAACAGCCCCAAAAATCCCCAAGTGCCAAATTTCAAGTAAATCCAATTAATTTTTTAAAAAATCTTTGATCGCCATTTTGGATCCGCTATTTTTAATTTTGAAAAACTAACCTCAAATTCGTAATCATCGACCCCAAAAACCTCCCGAGTAACGATTTATAAGCAAATTTGAGCAATTTTTACATTTTTTGCTTGCCATTTTGGATTCGCCATTTTGAAATTTAAAAAACTAACCTCAAATTCTTAATTAACGACACCAAAAACCCCCGTGTAACAAATTTCAAGCGAATTGTATCAATTTTTGAAGAAATATTTGCCATTTTGGATCGGCCATTTTGAATTTTGAAAAACTAACCCCAAATTCTTAATTAACGACCCCAAAAATCCCCGTGTAACAAATTTCAAGCGAATCGTATCAATTTTTGAAAAAATATTTGCCATTTTGGATCCGCCATTTTGAATTTTGGAAAACTAACCTCAAATTCGTAATCAGCGACCACAAAAACCCCACGAGTAACGATTTTTAAACGAATTTGAAAAATTTTAAGTTTTTTGGTCGCCATTTTGAATCCGCCATTTTGAATTTTGTAAAACTAACATTGGATTCGTAATCAGCAGCCCCAAAAACTGCCAAGTGCAAAATTTCAAGCAAATCCCATCAATTTTTGAAAAAATATTTGCCATTTTGGATCCGCCAATTTGAATTTTGGAAAACTAACCTCAAATTCGTAATCAGCGACCCCAAAAACCCCACGAGTAACGATTTTTAAACGAATTTGAAAAATTTTAAGTTTTTTGGTCTCCATTTTGAATCCGCCATTTTGAATTTTGTAAAACTAACATTGGATTCGTAATCAGCAGCCCCAAAAATCCCCGAGTGCCAAATTTCAAGTAAATCCAATCAATTTAATAAAAAAAAAATGTCCGCCATTTTAAATTTTGAAAAACAGATTTCAATTTCATAATTAGCGACCTCGAATACCCTTCGAATTACGAATTTTAATCGAAATTGATCAATTTTTAAATTTTTGGTTCCGCCATTTTGAATTTTGTGAAACATATACATAACATTGAATTCGTAATCGCAGCGACCCCAAAATAACGATTTTTAAACGAATTTGAGTAATTTTTAGATTTTTTTTCGGTCACCATTTTGAATTTTGATCAGCGGTTCAAAAAAGAAAAAAAAAACTCCCCGAGTAATAAGTTTCAAGCAAATTTAATAAATTTTCCAAAATTTCCTCCGCCATATTGGATCCGCCATTTTGGAATTATAAAATCTGTTAACACGCTGTTTTTGGCACTATTATTGCTATTATTATTATTATTATTATTATCAAAAAATGTAAAAAAAATTAAAGCACATGTAAAAGTATTATTTACTATTATTAAAAATTATTATTATTATATTTATAAAAGAATTAGTTAACTTTTTTTTAAAGTGTAAAAATAAAAAAAAAACTGAATCGACTAAAAAAAAAATTTAACGGCATTTCTCACGCGGGACCTGTGGAGCGCCAATTAACATATTTTATAACCAAATCTTTTTCTTCAAGTACTAATTAAATTGCGCCTAATTAATTTTACCGTCACTCTGAGGGCGATACATATATATATTTGCACCACGGGCTATCACACTTCTCTCTCTCTCTCTCTCTCTCTCTCTCTCTCTCTTATTGCTATGCTACGGTGTGTCGCGCTCGAGTTTTGAAATATTAATTATTATTTAAAAAGCAACATTTAAGGAAAAAAAATAGAAACCACCTTTCAAGGTTACACTTTATTTTTATTTAATTATACAATCTAAGTTTAGAGAAAAATGAATTTTATGGTTATTTAAACACAGCAAAAGTCAAGACCCTGGAAAGACTAATAGTGTGCGCAATGAAAAAAAAAAAAAAAAAGAAAAATATTGTTCATTAGCTCGCTATTGAATTTATGTTTTACATTTTGGACCTTGGACAATATAATTGAATTTCAATAATTTTCACAATTTTATTTCTTGTAAATAATTTTTGAAATTTATTTCACCGGAATATATAATTAAATTATTATATTTATTTTAATTTACCGAAAAATTTATATAATTAGACAAAATAAATAAATATTTTTATTTATTTTCATTTTTTTTCTAAATTTATTTATTAGTAATTTATTTATTTTTAATAGAAAATAGAATAAATTTATTTATTTCAATAAATTTTGCATAAAATAGACGTTCGGCTTTTTTCGTCTGGCGGAGCTCCGCCCACTCTCCACGGAAGAGAGTGAGTCGATAACTTTCGTATCCGCGCTCGGAACTTGTCGTCACTAAGGCCCCGCCTATTTTTCTCCCACTCCTCACTAAAGAAAATATAAACTAAATTCCTCCTCGACTAAATTAGAAAAATTTTTTTTTATCTATTATTTAAAAAAATATTTTTTTTCGTTGTTATTATTATTCATCATTAATATTAAACAACCTTTTTGTTTTTTGCAAACTGCTTCACTTTTTTTTTATATTCTCTCACGTGTCCACTGTCGCATCTGAAACAAAAAAAAAAAAAAATTATAAATTTTAAAAAAGTGATATCGCTTTTTTGAAAATAATTATTATTTTGTTATTATTATTATTACTAGTATTATTATTATTATTACTACAATTTTTTTTTCTCTGCCATTACGAAATTTTCTGAGTTTTATTGTTTGAAAATATTGCGAATAAAGTAAATAAAATTCAAATTATAAAAACAGTTTATGTCAACAAAGAAAAATATTAATTTATATAAAAACAAAGATTAATTAAAGAAAACAAATTCATATAAAAAAAAAATAATTTAAAAGAAATTAAAATTTATTAAGGAAAAAAAAATTATTTTTCTTTTCAGAAGGCGTCATTTGCTTGGTCCGAGGGTGGCGAGGAAGGTGGCGGTGGTGGAACCGGTGGAGCCGGAAGTGGAGGGGCTGGCGCCACCGGTGGCGGTGGACTGGCCCATTGGGTCAGTGTCATGGCAGAACACATTCACAATCCACATTCGACAACCGGTGTCGGTGGGGTTCATCATCAACAACAATCGCCACCTCAACCTCCCTATCCCTGGAACAATGGACTCTCCAGTGACGTAAGTTTTTACCAAAAAAAAAAATTCTATTATTTAAAAAAAAAATTCTTCCTTTGCTGTTATTTATATTATTATTCATCATTAATATTAAACAAACCTTTTTTTCCCATATAAAATGCAATCTAAAAACAAAAAATTAATAATTTATATGGTTTAAAAAAAGTTTGGCCCCTTTTTCTCTCACTCTCCACGGTAGAGAGTGAGTCGGCAACTTTCGTATTGGCCGTTCGGTACTCGTCGTCACTAAAGCCCTGCCTATTTTTCTCCCACTCCACGCTTAAGGAGATATAAAGTAAATTCCTCCTCAACTAAATTAGAAAACATTTTTTTTCTATCTAATATTTAGAAATTATATTAATTTTTTTAGAAAAATTTATATTAAATTTTATTATTATTATTAATTAATAGTAAACGCCCTTTTTTTGCAAACCACAATATTTTAATAAATTTTGTTACGGAATCGACGCTTGGCCATTTTTTCTCTCACTCTCTACGGTAGAGAGTGAGTCGGCAACTTTCGTATCGGCCTTTCGGTACTTGTCGTCACTAAAGCCCCGCCTATTTTTCTCCTACTCCACGCTGAAGGAGATATAAAGTAAATTCCTCCTCAACTGAAATAGAAAAAAGATTTTTTTTTCTATCTACTATTTAGAAAAAAATAATTATTTTTCGTTTTTATTATTGTTATTATTATTCATCATTAATATTAAACAAACCTTTTTGTCACATCTGAAATGTGAAAAATTTTGCATCTGAAACAAAAAATTAATAATTTATTAGGTTTAAAAAAAGTTATATTAATTTTTTTAGAAAAATTTATATTATTTTATTATTATTATTAATTAATGGTAAACGCCCTTTTTTGCAAACCGCAATATTTTCGTCGTCACTAAAGCCCAGCCTATTTTTTTCCCACTCTACGCTGAAGGAGATATAAAGTAAATTCCTCCTCAACTAAATTAGAAAAAAAATTTTTTTTTTTCTATCTACTATTTAGAAAAAAAAATAATTATTTTTCGTTTTTATTATTGTTATTACTATTTATCATTAATATTAAACAAACCTTTTTGTCACATTTGAAATGAGAAAAATTTTGCATCTGAAACAAAAAAAATAATAATTTATAAGGTTTAAAAAAAGTTATATTAATTTTTTTAGAAAAATGTATATTAAATTTTATTATTATTATTATTATTATTAATGGTAAACGCCCTTTTTTTGCAAACCGCAATATTTTAAAAAATTTTGTAATGGAATCGACGCTCGGCCCCTTTTTTTCTCACTCTCCACGGTAGAGAGTGAGTCGGCAACTTTCGTATCGGCCGTTCGGTACTTTTCGCCACTAAAGCCCCGCCTATTTTTCTCCCACTTCACGCTGAAGGAGATATAAAGTAAATTCCTCCTCAACTAAATTAGAAAACATTTTTTTTTCTATCTATTATTTAGAAAAAAAAATTATTTTTCGTTTTTATTATTGTTATTATTATTCATCATTAATATAAAACAAACCTTTTTTTCGCATTCCACATGCAAAAAATTTTGCATCTAAAAACAAAAAATTAATAATTTATAAGGTTTAAAAAAAGTTATATTAATTTATTTAGAAAAATTTATATTATTTTATTATTATTATTAATTACTAGTAAACGCCCTTTTTTGCAAACCACAATATTTTAATAAATTTTGTTACGGAATCGACGCTTGGCCATTTTTTCTCTCACTCTCTACGGTAGAGAGTGAGTCGCCAACTTTCGTATCGGCCGTTCGGTACTCGTCGACACTAAGGTCCCGCCTATTTTTCTCCCACTCCACGCTGAAGGAGATATAAAGTAAATTCCTCCTCAACTAAATTAGAAAACATTTTTTTTCTATCTATTATTTAGAAAAATAATTATTTTTCGTTTTTATTATTATTATTATTATTCATCATTAATATTAAACAAACCTTTTTTTCCAAACCGTTTCACATGTGTCCACTCTGTCGCATCTGAAACAAAAATGAATAATTTATAAGTTTTAAAAAAATGATATCGCTTTTTTTTTTAGAAAATTTGTATTATTTTTGTTATTATTATTATTATGATTATTAGTTCCTTAATTTTTACGACTGTTATTATTATTAATATTATTTTTAAAAAAATAAAATTCTAAATTGTCTTTACCAAAAAAATATTCTTCTTGTCTTAAGAGAAATTTAAACTTGAAAAGAAATCGACGGTTAGAAAAAATAATAAACCAGTAAAGGAATCCGGAAGAGTTCCTTAGATAATTTTCCATTTTGCCTCAATGAAAAAAAAAAAAAGAAAAAAAAACTAAATTTTATCCTGGGTACATACATAAAACGAGTTTGAGGTTATATATGTCCCATGAAAAAAAATTTTTTTCTTTTTGTTTTTTTACTCCTGCATAAATTTTCGTCGGATGCTGCGCGGGGATTAGAAATTTCTCTCTCTCTGTCTCTTTTTTGCCTTTAGACAATAATCAAGGAAGAGGAGGAGAAAAGAAAAATTTTTTTTGAGCGCTGGCAAAAAAAAAAATGCGAAAGGGTTGTAAAAGGTTGCTCATTGCATATATATAGACGAAAAAAGATGACAAGAGGAGAAAAACAAAACAAAAAAAAATTAACAAAAAATAAACGGAAATGTAGGAAAAAAAAATTCTAAACCGATTTTTTTTTTGAGAGAGGGGAGAAAAGGCAGATTTAAAATTAAAAAAAAAAAGAGGGGGAGAAGAGACGATGTTCATTTGAATAGATATCGCTCGTGTGTGTGTGTGTGTATTTTGTATGATTGTGTATAGTCATCTAAGAATGGGGCGAGAGAAACTACTACCCAGCAGCAGGACGACCAGGCGCTTCCTTTCGATTGTCTTTTTTTATTTCTCTCTCTCTCTCTCTCTGTACCGCTGTCTCTTTTGTTTTTTTTCGCGCATTTCGTCGTATGATATTCAAATTGAATTTCTCTCTTACCCCTTTTTCAAACTAACCTTGTGTTTTTTTTTTACCACTAGCGGAAAACACATTTGTCGTTTTTTTTTTCTAACTTTTGGGGTTCAAGGAAAAGAGTTTCGTTCCGGATCATGTATCGCGGAATGGTTTTGTTATTTATTATTTATTAGCTCCAGATGTGTCCGGTTTGAATGGGAAATCAAAATAGACAGTAATTAACAAATTTTTTTTCTTTTTTTTTTAATTTTTAATTAATTTATTTTTTTTTTAATTTTATCTAATTTATTTAAATTTTATAACTATTTATTTACTTTTTTTAAATTTTATCTTATTTTTTTTTAAATTTTAAAACTTTTTATTTACTTTTTTTTTATTTTATAAGTTAAATTTTACTAATTTTATAAGTTTTTATTTACTTTTATTTAATTTTTTTTTACTTTTTTTAAATTTATAATTTTTTTAAATTTTATAATATTTATTTACTTTTATTGATATTATTAGTTTAATTTTATTAAACTTTATTTGCTTATATTTTAGTTTTCTTAGTTTTTTTTAATTATATAACATTTTTATTTACTTTTTTTTTAAAATTTTTTCTTAATTTTTTAAATTTTATAACTTTTAATTTACTTTTTAAAAATTTTTTAAATTTTTTTTTACTTTTTTTAAATTTTATAACTTTTAATTTCCTTTTTAATAAATTTTCTTACTTCATTTTTAATTTTATAACTTTTAATTTACTTTTTAAAAATTTTTATTTAATTTTACAAATTTTTTTATATTTTTTAAAAATTTGTTAACCCTTTATTTACTTTTTTTAAAATTTTATTAGTTCAATTTTATTAATTTTATATCTTTTAATTTACTTTTTAAAATTTTTTTTTAAGTTTAAAACTTTTTATTAACTTTTTTTTATTTTATTAGTTAAATTTTATGTCTTTTACTTTACTTTTTAAAAATTGTATCAAATTTTTTTAATTTTATATCTTATTTTTACTTTTTTTGTTGTTGTTTTATTAAAGCCTTAAGTTTCTTTTTTTTCAATTTTATCTTCCTTAAATTTTACTAAGTTTATAATTTTTTTTTTTACTTTTATTTAATTTTTTTTTTACTTTTTATAAATTTATAATTTTTTTTAATTTTATAATATTTATTTACTTTTATTGATATTATTAGTTAAATTTTATTTGCTTTTATTTCATTTCTTCTTACTTTTTTTAAATTTTATAACTTTTAATTTAATTTTAAAAAATTTTTAAAACATTTAATTTACTTTTTTTTAATTTTAAAACTTATAATTTACTTTTTTTTTAATTTTATCTTAATTTTTAAAATTTTTTCTTACTTTTTTTAAATTTTATAACTTTTAATGTACTTTTTAAAAATTTTTAAAACATTTAATTTACTTTTTTTTTTAATTTTAAAACTTATAATTTACTTTTTTTTTAATTTTATCTTAATTTTTAAAATTTTTTCTTACTTTTTTTAAATTTTATAACTTTTAATTTAATTTAAAAAAATTTTTAAAACATTTAATTTAATTTTTTTTTTAATTTTAAAACTTATAATTTACTTTTTTTTTATTTTATCTTAATTTTAAAAATTTTTCCTTACTTTTTTTAAATTTTATAACTTTTAATGTACTTTTTAAAAATTTTTAAAACATTTAATTTACTTTTTTTTTTAATTTTAAAACTTATAATTTACTTTTTTTTTAATTTTATCTTAATTTTTAAAATTTTTTCTTACTTTTTTTAAATTTTATAACTTTTAATTTACTTTTTTAATAATTTTTCTTACTTTATTTTTAATTTTAAAACTTTTAATTTACTTTTTTAAAATTTTTATTTAATTTTTTTTAAATTTTTTTATATTTTAAAAATTTTTTTAACCCTTTATATACTTTTTTTTTAATTTTATATGTTTAATTTTATAAATTTTATATCTTTTAATTTATTTTTTTCAAAAATTTTTTTTCAGTTTAAAACGTTTTATTTACTTTTTTTTTTTTTTTATTTTATTAGTTAAATTTTATGAATTTTATGTCTTTAAC